GATGCCACTTACCCACTGCTTAGGCAAACCTCCTGGCCACAGGGGCCTCTGGGAGTCTGGCCTCCTGGGTGCGACTGGCTCTGACCAGAAGGGGTTAAGCCTCTGGGTTTCCTCCTGCTCCCTTCTCTCAGACGGGCTCTCTCCTGGGCCGGCCTGGGCTCGGTGGGGAGACAAAAGCCGTAAGCCTGGGGTGTTTATACTGCCCAGAGTTCAAGTTTCCTGAGTGCAGCGCTCTGGCAGGGTGTGACAGGAGACGCTTGCGGCTGGCCCACATGGCTCAGCCTGGCCTGGCTGGGTTTTTGTGAATGGAGACCGGCCTCCAGCCCTGACTGCTTGTCTTGAGGAATGGTTGGGAGATCAGCTGTCTCATTCACTAGCAGAAAGAATGACTCATACATCTTCTGCCTTGTTTGGCTCCGGGTCATTGTTTCAGTGCTTGGAGCTGGTTTTAATTAAACATTAACCCCTTTGCTACTGCGCACTGGTGGGGCAGGGCCATGGGCTCTGAGGTTTGGGGATTGTGCCCCTTCCCCCCCCAAAAAAAAAGAAAAAATAAACAGCCCATGGGTTCCTATTTCTAAAAGAAAAAACCAGGCTCTTACTCTTTTTTGATAAACAGCTGATTGTGTAAGACACTTAAATGCCAGCTTTTTCTTAAGCACTAATTTCTATTCCATTTGGAAGTAGATAAATCATGCTTCACATAACTGTTGGTTTTTTCTTTTTTTCTTTTTGCAAGGGGACATTAATTAAAAAAAGCATTACTACAGAAACAGGGGTTTGTTGCTGCTTCTGTGGTTATGCAAATTCTAATTAATATTTCCGTGTGTTCTGCCTTCCTCTGCCCCCACATAGTGCTGAAAAGGGGGGGGAGGTGTTGGTTTTTGGTAATAATCATTGAGGTTGCAGCAAATAGCTGAGAGTGCAAATTCTGACCGTTTCAAGGAAGAGGTTCTGAGACTGGGTGGCTGCTTGTCTCTTAATGTGGAAGGTACTGATAGAGTTTTCGGGCTATTGCCAATAAAATCCACAGGCTCCATCTCCTTGAAAGCCTTTTATTGGCCTTTTGGTCTGTCTTTTCCCCCTCCGCCTTCTCTTCCTCTTCTCCCCTTACTTAAGACATGAGGGGAAACATTTTCATCTTCCATGAGGTTATCGTGAGCATGTTTCCCATCGGCTGATAGCGAGGACCGTCGGGCGTCCATTCCCCGATGCTGCCCTGCCTGGGTCAGTTTCCAGGTCTTACTGGTCTCATTGGGCTTAGCCTAAGAAAGCTGCATTTTGGACCTGGCCAAAGAACGAAGTCTGGGACCTATTGGAGAATGGGAAGGAAGTTCGTGCTTTCTTGCCCTGAGACTTATCAGATTTTCCTTACTTGGATCCAAGTTATGTTTTTGGTTAACTGCTTCCTTCTAATCTCGTTCAGAACTGGAGACAGACGGGCAGGCAGACAGACGGACAGACAGACAGACACACACACACACACACACACACACACACACACACACATACACACAGAGCCCTTATCTATTTCAGGAGAGTGCTGGTTCCCTTGCTCTATTCACTTTCTTAAGGTTAGCTCCTGTGAAAATGTGAGTCATATGTTTTTTGTTAAGATTTCTGTAATGTGCTCAGGCGTAAGTGTGAGGCCTATTTATTTGGTATCTTCAAAAAAAGAGTTGGTACGCCACCATCAATTCTCCTTACTCCTTTTACAAACTGTGCGTAAGCAGCTATTATTTGAGGACTTGAATGGGAGGATAGAATTCAAGGCTTAGACTCGATTTTTCCCCCTGGGTCCCTAATTTCTGTCATTCTTTCACACACCTCTTCCCTGGCTCACGTGTACATGCCTGCCCCGTCCACCAGTACACCCACGCACCAACGTTCCCAATGCTTTGTGTGCAATATTGCAGATGTCACACAAAGGATGGTGAGGACCGGCCAGGAGATTCTTCTTGTTGGTGTATACCAACGCAGGCAGTCCCCCTTCTTAAACTATTACTCACTGGTCATTTCCAACTCTTCTTGTAGAGGGATGTTGCATGTTTACCAGGTTGCTGTAAATGCTGTCTGTTCTAAAGCAGGGCTGGGGGTGGAGCTCAGCAGATAACTTTCTTCACCCTTTTTTACTCCTCATCAGAGGTGGTCTGAGACTCAGGGGATGATGGAAAAAAATAAAGTTACCACTTGACTCTGCTTCATGAGGTGTTGCTATATTGTTATTAAAATAAACTTAATGTTTGGGGTGTGATTTTTTTAAAGCCCCATTCATAATTCATAAATCTAACTAACGGGGGAGAAAAGCAACACATTTTAAAATCAGGTGTTATTGATGTATTTTTTTAACATTACCATATTCCTCCTTTCTCCTCCCCCTCCCAGAGAGCCATCCCATATCACAAGTAATATTTTTTAAAGGCAGAAAAAGAAGAGGAAAAAAATCAGTAGAGTTGATCAATACATCGAAAAAGTCTGAAAATACATTCAATCGATGTACAAACCCTGTGGACCTCCCACCTCAGCGAAGCGCAGGCATCTTCCGTGACTCCTTTCCAGCCAGGCTTGTTCCTTACGATTTTACAGCATTGTGTTTGATTTGTTTTGGGGGCGCAAGGGGGCAGGGTTGTTGTTGCTGTTCACACTATTCTTGTTGTGGTATCTCTTGTTTTCTTGGTTCTACTTAACTTTGTTCTGGCTCAGTTCATGGAGACCTCTCCAGGTTTCCCTGTATTTGTCCCGTTGGCCATTTCTCCTAACTCAGTGATACAGTTGGCCACGTTTCTGTACCATGGAATGTTGAGCTGTTACTCGGTTGATGGGAGTCTGCCTGCTTTCTAGTTTTGAAATATTCTGAGGAGCTCGGAGGATGATGCTAAATTGGAATGACAGCCCTTACTGTCAAAGATAATTCAGGAGGAGATGACCTTGGCTTTGTTGGGTGTAGACATTCTCAAATTGGGCCATATCCCGTTGTTGGCGCAGAGGATGGAAAAACATAAACTCTCAGGACGAGCTGCTTAATTGGGCAGGGATACCGGTGGCCAATGGAGAAGTGCTCATGGGGTTAACTTTATGGGGGGGAGATGTCTTGGACAAATCTGAATCTGAGATGGTACGCCAGATTAATCATTAAGTGGATAGATGTGTTAGGAAGTGACAGGAGTCTCCAAGTAACCTTTCCTTTTCCTCTAAGCAGAGAGACTGTTGAGGATAGCAGATCCAGAGTTGGAAGGGACCTTCAAGGCCAGTCCTTGCATACTTCACTCTTGGGACTCCTCCAACTCTTCCCCATTAGACTTCCCACTTTGGAGATGGCGCCACCCTGAGGTCTGCCCTCGTGATTGTCCAGTCCCTAGACCAGACCACCGCTTTGTGATAATTTTACTCCTAACTAGTCTCATTCTTCTGGACTTGGCCACCTCTTTGCCAACAGCTCTGCCCCTTTCTGGGTACTCTTCCCAGGCCCCTGACCCTACTTTCCAGATCTCCATTATCTGTCATCTTTCCCCATTAGAATGGAAGCTCTTTGAGGGGTGGGGTTGGCCTGTTTGCTTGTATTTGCATCCTCAGCACTTAGCACAATGCCTAGTGCTTATAGCTTATAGCACAATGGTAAGTGCTTATAGCTTATAGCACAATGGTAAGTGCTTATTAAATGCTTTATCTATCCTCCATCTAGTCCAAACCCTTGGTTACATGGCTAGTAAGTTTTTGCTCTGAATTTGAACCCAGCTCTTCCTGGTTTCAAGTCCAGCTTGACAAACATGAAGAAATTGTGACAAGGTCTCATCATATTCCCATGGTCTGGCCATGGGAAAAAATCCATTTTCAGTAAGAGCCCAGTTAACCAAAAATCACTTGAACCAAGGCCTGGGGCCCAATTCTTAGGCCTAGGAGAGCAAAGCAAATTAGAAAGTTCGGTCGGCAAAGATCACTTAGGCTCTCCTCTCCGGGGTGTCTTCTGGAAAGCAGCAGTGGGGATGGAGTGGGGATGGAGGGGCCTTTAACTTCTTGACATGTTTGCAAGGACAAGATGGCCTGGGGTGTGCTGGGGGGAGTGATCATTGTTATTTAACCTTGAAACCAGATCTTGGTGGAGGCACAGCTGACCCAGAAGAGGTCTGGCCAGCGACTCCCTGAAAGGTCTGGGTGCATGTTGTTTTGTGAAACTTCTTGGCCCCAAGTGGGAGGTGGAGGCCGTAGGGAAACAAGTCTCCTCCCTTTGAGGGATTATAGCTTACTGTGGCTTTCTGTGGCAGTGCTGAAGCATGTCCAGGTCAGGGAGAACAATGGCTTAGATTTTGATGGATGTCTGGGAAGATTCAGGGCACAAAGCCAATAAGATTGTATTTGTAGAGTGCTCAGGACAGTGTCTGACATACAGTTGGTGCTATATGAAGTCTTAGTTATTATTTGTCATTATTACTATTATTGACAAATCATAATCCCCAGCGTTCCTCCTCCCCCTCCCCCCAGCACAGACAGAATTCGAACCCGGGCAGGCTGTCATCAGTATTTCTGTTAGAGCTTGGTGTGGTGTGGGCGGAAGAGACTTTGGTGAAAGAATGAAGTTGTTGGTGTCCTGTAGACAGAAGGGGCTTTTTATTTCACGCTGGAATCAACCTTTGAGCATCTGTGGGCCAGCAGCATCTGGGCGGTGGGCTGTACTCCTGACGGCTAGCTTTACCCAAGAGGCAGACTGCCCCACGGGTGGGATCCAAAGCCCTGGGGATGTATATCCACAGGGTGGGTGAGGGTGTGTCCCTCCTAGTTCTGAGCCTGGCCAGTGGTCTCTAGGATTCTGGGCTGGGCAAGGGTCCCCTCCTTGGGTCTAGACCCTCTCACACCTCCCCAGGGTGTCAGCACCAAGGCATCAGAAACTGCCCATAGCTGGCCTTCCCTGCCCTTCCCCCACCCCGCTGACCTTATTTCTCCATTATGCTTGGGTTGTTTGGCTCATTTTTTTTCTTTTCTTTTCTTTTTTTTTCTTTCTTCAGCTCAGGTACCTGACAATGATGAGCAGTTTGTCCCAGACTATCAGGCTGAAAGTTGTAAGTACAGTGTGACTCATCTCTTGGATGCTTCCTCCCCTCCCCTCTTTCTTTTTCTTCTCTCTTTCCTTTGCTTTTGTGGTCGGTCCCCATTTTCCTCCTGTTGACTCACACATTTTGCCAGGTCCTTCCTCACCCCTAGTCTGATGGTGATTTTGTTCGATGGGGTGCCACAGCAGAGGGCTGTGGGGATGAGGGGACCCCTGCCCTGCCTAGCAGTCAAGTTTGGCTGCTTGGTGAGCATCCTGCCTGCCCGGTGGGCATCTGCTTCTGCAAGTGATGGTACAGAAGGTCAGGTGGGTGCCCACACCCAGGCAGGTTGTCATGTACTCAGCAGAGCACCCAGTGAGGGGAAGAGAGGTCATAGCCGTGGCTCTAAGAAAGAGACAGAGTGTTGCACAACATGGGCAGGAGGTCTTTGGGGTCCTGTAATGTCAATGCCAGTATTCTATTAGAGTCACTAATGAACATCTATCCCTATTTCTGTTAATGAACTTAATGCCACCTGCTTCAGGGGCTTTGGTTTTTGTATGAATTTATCTGAGTCTCTTACACTCAGTCCCCAACTCAGGGACTCAGCAGCTGTTTGAAATTTCATTTTTGACCCCAAGCTCTGTGTTTGGTAGTTGACATGAGACAGCACGTGACCAGCCCCTGGCTGTCAGCTTTGTGCTCCTTTCCTGGGCCTGGCTCCTCCTCACCCAGTGGCTGGTTTCCTTTGCTAATATGGCGCCTGTCAGGGTCTCTTTCTCCTATTATAGAGTACCTGACCTAGAGTAAGGTATTATTTGAAAGCAGCAACAAACAGAGCACTAGTGCCGATAGATATCTTGTTTGGAAAAGAGATCACGGAAAGCCTTTTCTTTGTATATCAGAACTGGTCAGCTGGGCCACTACTGGGAGTTTCACAAGATGATGGGTACGTGGCACCCAGCTGTGCTAAGAACTTTTCAGTTACGCATCATATCCTGTGGCAAAGCCAAGGAGCATCGAATGTTAGCAAGAATGGTTCTTCCCTCCCCCGATTCCCCCCCCCCACTGTACCACTCAAGCCAGAATTCCGAGGATCATTGATTTATAGGATCACATGAGAAAATATTTGTGAAATGCTTTGTAAAACTTAAAGAGCTATAGAATGCAACTGTTACTGTTTGTTACTCAAGCTCGATAGACCTTAGAAACTTGCAGTTTTCAAATGGAGTGAATGGAATGAAGGCTCAGGGAGGTTAGGCATTCTAAGTGGCAGAGTCTGAGCATGAAGTCAGGTCTTCTGAGGGAATGAATTAAAAATCACTTACTAACCACATAGTATGTGCCAAGCATCATGCTAAGTTCTAGAAGTACAGAAAGGAAGCAAAGATAGTCCCTGCCCTCAGGGAGTTTGCATTCTAGTAGGAGAGTTGGTATTTTTGTTTGGAAAGTTACAAGATGGTGAATGGCCCCATAGAACGACTTTAAGTAGAGTTGATGTGATTATTATTCCAGAACTGAGGAGTTGGGGGAGGGGATATCTGACTATAAGCCCTGGCATCACATTGCCTATTGATAGCTTGGGAAGAGATTGGCACATTTGGTGTGCCCCTTGAACCCCCAGCCTCTCACCTTAGTGCTTTCGTGGGTACCTCAGCGAAAGACAAGAAAAGATGCTTGGAAGGGAGGAAGCTAAGCACAAATGGTACCCCCTTTCCAACTACCCAGGCATGGTCCCTTCCATGACCCAGCAGGAGGGATGGGGGAGGCTTCCTGCTCTGTCCAAGGGATCTAAGAGCTCCCCTTTGCAAGTCGGCACAGGTCTGTGACTTTCCCAAGGAAATCACACTCTTTCCCTCCATTATGCTGATGAAGAAATGGGGAAGTGAGCCAACTTGTCTTTTGTGTAGCCAATGGTAAGGGACTCTTCTAGCCTGCTTCGGTGGCCCTGGTTCGTGGTGTACCTCATCATCATTGGGGATCACGAGAGTGAAGGAGAGGTTACAAATGTCACCTCCATTTTACAGATGGATAAACTGAGGCTTGGAGTTCAGTGACTCACCTAGGGTTACTCAGTTAGCAAGCAGCTGAAGCAAGATTGGAATCCAGATCTTCCTGAGCTGAGTCCAGTGCTCTCCCCACCACATTTTTGCTGCATCTTAGCTCTAATGAGTCAGTCCTTTATGTTGCCTTACATTCTGTTTGCTTCGTTTATTGTAACGCCATCCCATGCGGGCTAGGGCCTGGACTTGGGGGAAGTCCTACCTGAGGAAACGCCTTCCTAGCTCCCATCCACCACCCTTCTATCACGTCCAGTCCTAGAGAAGTGCCTGGAAGGCCCTCAGAGGGCACGGGACTTGCTCGGGGCCACACAGCCAGTGTGCGTCAGAGAGCAGGACCTGAATTCAGAACTCTCAGCTCCGAGGCTGATCTCTACCCACTGTGCCTGATTAGTGAAGCCTGGGGCTTAGTCCCAGTTGCCAGGCAAGGTAGAGCTACTTTTCAGTTTTTCTTTTTTCACAACAAAACATATTTAAAATATTTTTAGAGTCTTCCTTTTTGACTTGGAAAATATTTCATGTTTACACCTTAAAGCAGTAGCCATATGTTTGGTTATGTTTTGGGAAAAAACAAATCCTTCATCTAGCCAGAGCAGTTTTCTGAGCAGAACGCTGAACCTGGAGTCAGAAAGACCTGGGTTCAAATCCAGCCTTGGACACGTACTAGTTGTGCGATCCCAGGTAAGTTATTGTCACCGCTCTCTGCCTCAGTTTCCCCATCTGTAAAATGGGCATTAAAAACAACCTCTCCCAGGGTGGTTATGATGACGCAGCATTTGTAAAGTGCTTTGCAAACCTTCAAGGATTGTCTAAATGTTGTCGTTGTTGTTACTACTGCTGCTGAAATTGCTCAGACTCAGAGGCTCGACCTAACTGTCCAGCATCCTCGGTGGGGGTCTCTGAGGTCCCTTAGTTGCTTACAGAAGGAATCCGGAAGCTCCTTGAGGGCCGCTGTGGGGGAAGAGCCTGACACATGGTGGGCACTTAGGTGGTTGTCATTTCATCGCATTAATAGCTTTTCACTGTAAAAAAGAAAAGTCTGTAAGGAGAGGGAAAAGGAATCGGGATTCTTTAACCTAGAGAAAAGAAGCCGAAAGGGGTGATTCAGGTCTGCAGTTTGGGGGGACTGGCCATTCTTGGTGACTCGTGAACGCAGAGAAGATACAGCTTGCCTGAAACTAGGAAGGCGGGTTCAGTTTATGTGCAGAAAGGTAATTTCCTCATAGTTGAGATTAGACAGTTTGAGAAGCAGCCGGGCTGTTTGTCCAGTGGTTTTCAAAATGGTGCAGCTGCTGATGGGGGAAAGGCAGTGTGGTTCAGTGAGCAGGGCTGGGTGTCTGCAACCCTGGGGTCCGAGCCCAGTTCTGCTGATGAAGTCCTGGGCCTGCCGCTGGCCTCTGTGGCCCTCAGTCTCCTCTTCTGTAACATGGTGGGGGTGGTGCACTTGGCTTGCTCTGGTTCTATGAGCCTGTCCATGAAGGCAGAGAAATAGATTTTAGCCCTTCCACAAATCCTGTGGGAATATTTTAAGGGAAGCAGTGTCACACTTGTTGGGATCCTGGCTACGTCACTTTCTAGCTGTGTGACCTTGGGTTAGTCACATGATGATGATGATGGTGGTGACAGTATTACAGCTAGCATTTACATAGCACCTACTGTGTGCCAGGCACTGTGCTGAGTGCTTTATCATCATTATCTCATTAGATCCTCACAACAACCCTGAGAGGGCGGTGCTGTTATTATCTCCATTTTACAGATGAGGAAACTGAGGCAGGTAGTGGTGAAGTGACTTGTCCAGGTTCACATAACCGGTAAGTATCTGAGGCTGGATTTGAACTCAGGTCTTCCCGACTCTAGACCCAGCACTCTATCCACTGTGCCACCAGTTGCCTGAGCCTGAGACTCAGTTTCTTTACTTGTAAAATGGAGGTAATCATAGCACCTCTTTTTGGTGATTTGTTGTAAGAAACAAATGAGATCATGTGTTATATATGTATACATGTGTACACATACATGCATGTATGCATGCATACTTGCAGGCATATATTTGAGGGGTGGGGAACAGGAGGTCCAGGCCTGTGATTTCATCAGTGAAGGCAGCCCTTGGTGCTGATACGTCTTTACCAATGTCGATCTGCAACCCCCTCACTACTTTCTGTCTTAGAAAATTGTCTTTGGGGCCTGTATGGTTCCTTGACTACTTCAGGGTCACTCAGCCAGAGGCAGGACTGGAACCTGAGACCTCCTCACCCCTATGGCCAGGCCTTCAGCGCACTGTTCTCTGCTCCCTCTCTTTGGACAATGCTGAAGTTCTGTATAACTGAGGACTAATATTCTTAGCGTCATCCTCGTCTTCATCCCCATTGATTTTTACTTAGCTCCTTTCCTATATAATGCTAAAACTTCTGGCCAAGTGAATCCCCCAAGGCCAAGGTCGTGGAATGTAGACTTGTTTCCAATACATGTGTTGATCGGCTGTTTGTGGAACAGAAGAGGACAGAAAGAGAGGGAACGGGGGAAGGGAGGTGCAGGCTCTCGGACAGACGGATGCACTTTCTGATTCTTCTCCCACATTCTGTGCACCCTTGGGTGTTATGGTTCATTGGAACAAGCTGGGAACAAGGGGTCTCTGCCACCCCCGGGTTGAGCCTCGCTCAGGGATGGGGTAGGCAGAACGTGCAGCAGCAGTAGTGAGGTGTGGATGGAGAGACCGTTCCAGAGGGGGAGCCATGAAAAAGGCCCCCAGAGCTGGAGAGGGCTGAGTGAGACTGGGGAATAGTCAGTGACTCAAAGGAGAGGAGGGAAGGGAGTCCAGAAAGGTCAGGCTGGAGCATCTTGCCAGGGAGCCTGGAATGCCATCCTGTGTCCCAGAAGACTTGAGCCCAAGCTCTTGAGTTTGCTGTGCACTAGGGAGCTCCTGGAGGTGGGAGAGCAGTCTGTGCTTTGGAGCTGTTCCTGAGGCTGTGATCT